GAACTATTATACTAACTGTTTTAATTCAAGTAGGTAGCCAAAAGGGAGCTGGAGCTTGTTCTAGTCGAGACATCCGCATCTTCAATTTTGAAAATTTACCAAGATTGATTAATATGCATGAAGTTAGCAAATCACGTGATTTACAAAATCAGTCATTCATACGATATCCCACATCAAATTTGATGTGGGAAATTGCACGCATGAATCGTTTGCCCAGGCCCTAATTCGAAAAAAAAAGAAATCGGGTATGGGACGCCAATTAAATTAGGTATGGCGCGCACTAAGTGCAATAAGAGTGAGTAACCTAAAATTAGGGCCTGGAACCCAGGCTATTGCTTGGTATATCCAGACGCACACGGCGCCCTTCTTTTTCCACTAATGGAGGAAAACTTTATCGGTCATACGATTCTGCGCTTTTGTGTCTTCTTATTGTTTTTATTTATTTATGCCTACTTGTTTGTATCTCATGGATAATGGCAAGGATTTCAACCTCCAGAGGAAGTTATATATTCACATTTATGTAACGGTGGCAGAAGTTGTTTAGATCCAGCCCTACACGGCGCCCCATTGTTTGTATTCCCACCATGCATTTTGGTGGAACATTTTTTTTTTCTGTGGAGAACTCTCTCTTGTGTTTCTAGTATCTTTGCTAATAACAAGCAATTATCATGTGGAGATATAACTTTGTGGTTCAAATGTTGGACAACGTATAATTATTTTCTCACGAGTAAAAACATTTCCACCCATTAATCCCCATAATGGGGCTTATTTGTAAAGCATCACATTATTTTCAGTTTCAGTGGGCCCTAAATGTCAGCTTACTTGCTAGAAAATGTTATAAAAATAATAATTTACTTGACAAGCATAGCAAGATTGATAGTTTATAATACAAGCTGTATAATACTATCAAGCTAATTGTTGTACTGCCACTTAGTTACATGTTACGCTCTATAAAGTGGTCTATATCTAAAAAAAAGTTTTATTAGAAAATATTAACGTAACGCTATTTCGTCATATCAAGAAAGTGCTATTTCTGTATAATGATTTATATTTAACATTTTACAATGGAACTTTCTTAATCTTTCGTAGTAAAAAAAAAATAGTACAGTATTTATCCAAATTAATTCCCCCTTTAAAAGAAAGCCCCTCGATTAAACACCCCCTCCCTTCAGAGCCTCATTTGTAATAAACGCCTCCCTCGAATAAACACACATTGCGTTTGTTTATTCCTCAAATAAAAGCCACCCCCCCCACCATAAATGACTGCAAACAAAACTAATGAAAGCAGCATCCTTGGAATAAACGCCCCCTCAAAAACCCTTGTTAAGAATAGGGGTTTATTCTAAAAAATTCGGTATTCAGTTTTATTACAATAATTGTTTATATTCATTTGAAATCATAATATTCACATGAACGCATTGTAAACACATCCCTCGGGTAGTCCGATCTGAGAATATCTTTCAGTTTGCAGTTGGTGACGTCAGCGTATGGTGGTTTAGAGTAGTAGTTGAGAGATAAACACCCACTTTCCAATAAGCATGACGCCATACATTCTATTAGGCTACGCACTTCGATTTCTCGCAGATTATGTCCTTCAACACATGTATTTCGTTCATTGGGATCCACGTCGACAGCAACTCCGTCTTTTACGAACTCATAGTTGTCAGCCCCCTCTTAAGAGAATGATAATGATTTCAAAAAATTAAAATAAATTAAACTTATTTATACCAATTTTTATCAAACGTAATGTAAATTAATAAGATTAAAAACATAGCTTAACGGTAACGTATTATGTTAACTTTAGAAACACTAATTTTAGTGTTTCTAAAGTCAACATCTTACGTATTTGTGTTTCATAACCGTTATGATATATTATATTTTATGTTTCGAAACACATGTGGACACGTCTTCTTCATATACCGTAAACTTCGAATTGAAGCCCAATGGGCTTAATCTCGAGAAGATAAGCTTATCTCGACTTGACGCCCCTGTTTAGTTTGCAAAATTAGCCTTAGTACAGGCTTCTGTCCGAAATAATACAGTTCTTAAGCTATGTAATAGCTTGTAGGTACAAGCTGGTAAATGTAGGCCCCTCTATTTTGAATTCCAGGATCTGCCCCTGGTTACAATGTAAAAATTAATAGATAAACCACAATTATTACTACATTTGGCATATTCTATCTTACCTAGTTCACATACGTGATAGTGATTATTACTGCATGGCACTGAAGACCAATCCAAGTAAGAACTTGAACTTCTCAGAATAGTACAGTCTGTCGAATCGTCGAATACAGCACTTGTCCACCATGCTGCTTACCAATTACCATAGTTTAATAATATGAAAAGAAACAGAATGAAAATATTACAAATGTTCTACGCAGGCCTGAAATTCATCGGAGTCAAAAACTCACTAAACAAAAAGATGAAAACTAAGCCATTCAGTGGGGTCTTTTTTGGTTGTGAATTGGACAATGCATCAAAAACCAATCCCCCCTCCCCCACAAAGGCTGCACTGTGGTCTATGTTCACTATTGTAGATTATCGAACCTCTTCCGAATAAGGCTGCAATATTGTAGTTTTTATTCATTTTATAACGCGTACACTACAAGCCATTTCGTGGAAAAAATATATATAATCTATAACAAACATCTATAAAATGGTGTGATTGTAAATTGCAGTTCAACACTTGAGAGTGAAACACACAGAGATGAGCGATGGAAATAAACAAGGTCACCATGGTTGAGCTGACACACCGTGGTTACCCCCAGGTTAGCCTACTGAACATAACTCCTCTCTTTAAACTCTCTTTAACCTCAATTGCATAAATTAATACATTAATGTTTGTGTGATGTTAAGACGGGTTTGCCTACAAACTTTAATAAAGAAAAGAATGAGTTTCTTCTGAGCTTTCGCTATGTCCTACGTCTGGAACGCTATTTATTTTTTGTTTAGGAAATATCACTTCCAGACCTAAATCGGCTAAAAAGATTATGATTTTGGAGTTCTGCTGTAATTTTTTAAGAGTAAACACATATTATTTAAACACTTACGTTCGTAACCTAATATCTGGGCTGAACTCGAATCCCAAACGTAAGTTCCTTCAGTCGTAATGTCATTATAGCCGATGTAATAATGGTTCCCAGATCCCTGAGCTAAACGTATGGCTTCCAAGACTATATCCATTTCATATTGTGACGTGATAGATGCCAATTCCATGCCCATCTCGTTGCATCTAGATTTTGCTGTCGAATATGCGACACTTTCCCTATTTACAAAATATCTCCGTTGTTCCCAGAGGGCGCCATCAGTCGGATGTATATCTACGCAAAAATAATGATTTTATATTATGATTGTTTGTAGGCTGATATCACGTGATTGTATTAATTCATATACTTTATACAAAAAAAATACATCTTTATTACATGATATATATTATTGCACCATACATATTAAGCTCCAACATTCTATAATTTGAGTGATGACAGTTACTTGTGAATGAGATCAACTATGCTACGTTCGTTCTTTCATACCGAGCTGGATAATTTTTATCAATGAGATCGTAATTCAATCTAATACAATTTTTGTAATAGAAACTCTTTTATAGGCTATTCATTCCCTCAGCAGCAGTCGATAATTTAATATGAAGACACAGTGGGCCTATAATTATTATAATTGTCTTCTACTACTGCTACTGCTACGCTACTACTGCTGCTGCTGCTACTGCTACTGCTGCTGCTGATACAGCTACTGCTGCTACTTCTACTGCTGCTACTATTTATAATGCTACTACTACTACTACTTCTGCTACTAGAGCCTACTGTCACTATTTTTACTGCCACTAGAGTATACATTACAGCCCTATGACTAACTATCATCATCATCATCATCATCATCATCATCATCATCATCATCATCATCATCATCATCATCATCATCATCATCATCATCATTTTCAGGAATCAGTGTAATTTAACTGTTCCCTGATCATTATCACGTTGTTCCTATTGCTGTCATTGTTTTGCTATTACTATTATAGCAATGCGACTGAAAACTATAGATTTTGTCATTGTAATGTAAAAAATAGTTTACCCGCTTCGCAAATGCTCGCCCTAAATGTAGAACAAGAAATATCGTTGTAGCAATTGTCGGAGCTTCGGAACTCTGTACAGTATTCACTTCCACCAGATGGTTCCCCTGAACACCAATCTAATAAGAGCA